GGTTTAATGTATGGAATTTGGTTTTCGCCAACCTCAACTAATGTTTATATTAATATTGCCTTAGTTGTCCAAGAATCACGAGTTCTTAAATAGAACTGACGCATTAGGATTAATTATCTATGTTATTAATTCACAAAAGATTTCACTTTCTAGTACCCACCAAAGTTTTTGCTGTTTTCGCATTGTCCAACATCAATCTGAATTGCAATTGAAAACCAGTTGTCCTCACCATCATGCGGCCTAGAGGGACACCAGAATGATTGACCAAAACAGCATTGGTACTGGTTTGATTTTGTGACGCAGTCACTACAGTCTGACGCGTTGTTGGTGCAGCAATGACCGTTGTAAGCACGATGCCCATCACCATGAAAACAAGAACTTTCTTCAATTCCATTTCTCTAAGAAACAAAAATCATTTGTTATGATTAACGTTCGCTTTTTTGTCAAAAGAAAGTTGCCTCGTGATGGAAAGCCATTAAGGATGCGTTGGTTTTAAGTTCTAGGAAAAACGGGGGAAAATATTAAGAGTAAGAGAAAAGTTTTGGCATTTTGCAGTACTTTTGTACTGCAAACTTCACAAGTTTAATTCTTGGACATTATAATGGCATGTTTTCAAAATACGACATTGCAATGAGATCGAAATGTACATACAAATTCTCAATAAAAGATCTCATCATTATTTTTCTTAATTCTGTTAAAGACTCACGTTCTTAGTTTTCCTTTTTTAGCCATGTCTCCTTTTTACCAAAAAGATATGATCTTCGATAAAACCTTAAAAGAAATTTGCTTTTCGAAATTGGAATCCCGAAAACGCCCAAGCATAACAAGATTATATATGTTTATAAGAAGCATGCGCAGTCCAGGCTGTTTACATGATTTTGTTACTGAGCATCTTTGCTCTATCTCAGGTCGATGCTTGATTTTTCTTCTCAAGTAGCTTGTATGACGACACTGTGTCGACGTTGGAAGTTGATTTTCCAGGTTAAAGTAAGAAACTAAAAAGTAAAGAGTGCCCTTTCTGTGATCGATAACACGCTGTGATACAACAGCTAAAGCTTAATAGATTTATAAAACAAAGCAACGGTTGGGCCTTATTTTGAGAAAGAATCGTTAAAAAATTTAAAATCTGCGAGTTTTTTCTGTCCTTGTATCACATATTTTGCTTCGTAGGAAGGAATAAAGCAACAAGTGCTCCATTAAGGCATAGCAAAAGCCAGCAACGTATTTCAAGGAAGTGGTCCGATGAGGACAAAGTGCTCCAATGTGGACATAGGTTCGATCGAAAACATTTAGAGATATTTCCCCAAAAATTACCAGTGATATCAAAACGAGTTACAGGGACATAAAAAAAGAATCTTTCAATTATAGGAAACAACGATAAACAATAGAAAAGTTATAGGGCCAGAGTATAGACCAATCAACCGAGATCTAGACTAGTATGCACTGCTGTTAAAAACGTTTCAATATCTCACATTGTTTTGTTAGCAAAATTAATAACATATGAAGCAAGAGGTTAGAATTATTTTCCTAGCTTGAAATTTACAAAGTATATGAACTGAGATTTATCAACTCTTAAACTAAAAACATTTCCTTCCTCAGAAGAAAAAGGTGCTTAAAATTGGCACAGGTTCAAAACTTGTACAGACAAGTTAGCTGAAATATTCAACAATAAATACAGCGGTAATGATAGTTAAATATTTTTCAAGAAATCAGAGTAGCTTAATCAGATTGAAGACGGTAATCTATTGCTTACCTAGAGTTGGTGTGTCAGGTATAATCGTCTGGTAGAGATTTTACAGGTTGTTTGAGGGGTTACTCCTGGCTTCTTCTTAGCTCTGGCTGAATGCTACTTTTCTCTCCATTTCGTTGTTCAGTTTATATACTCTTCTTTTTTCTACGCCTGGGATTGCAGTTGCTTTTTTCATGGCGTAAAAGTCTTAAAATAAAAACCATAGCAAAGCGGATAAAAACTCTGGGATGTTGAAATTTGGCTATTTCATTCCATGAATTTCTATTTCCTTCATCGTGACGACTTGATTAACACAATATCATATACACTCCCTTCTCAGAGTTAAGGAATAATTATTCATCGATTTTTCCACGATTTTTGACATGTCAAAAAATTCCCCCTCCATGGGGTGCCGTTGAAAAAGGAACTAGAACTTTCAGAGTCAAACAACCTCTAAATGAATTTTCTTGATTTTATTCATGGATTAACAGTAAATTAAGATTTTTCATAGTTTAAAAAATATTTCTATTTCCACTCTTTAAGTTTAAGAGTTAAAGCGCCATCCCACTTTAGGTCATTAAACGGTCGTTATATCGTTAACTCTTAGTATGCCATACTTGCGGCGGTTAAGAATAGCACATTATACTTCTTCTCTTGGCATCCGAGCCTATAGTCAAACATTTGATGTCTGTTTTTTCAGTAAATACAGTTCAAGGGCGAGGCTTCGGCAGTGCTTTGTAATTCACATCTTAATTCTTGTTTGGCATACTTTAGATATTTTGTTCTTTTTCCAGAATTTCAGAATTTCCTCATTTTTTGAGTATGCAACAACGTCCACAGCATTCTTTTTCATGTTGTTACCGCATCAGTTTTTAGTGATTTTACTACTCTTTCATTACATTGGTATTATACTCAACGATACTCAACTCTACTCTCAGTAAAAAGAGCTCAATAAAATCATTTATTTTCATATTTAACAATACAAGAATGTCCTGTGCCTCGGTAACTTGGGAAGTTTACAGCAAATCCTGGAGATTTTCCTTCAAAAGTGTGGAAAAGAAGAGCCATCATTGCCATAATTTCTCTACATCTTCAGTCAAAGAAGGAAATAAAGCTGCAGATTATTATAGTGAAATGTAGTTTTTCTTGCCTAAAGACAGTACATCTGATATGGTGGGCCCTTTGAAACAATCTCCGCATCAACTCAATATCAAAAACTATACAATAAATTTTATTTCTCATGAGTAAAATGTTATTGTTTTGTCCTCCAAAATTGAAATGTTGTGCTACAGAGGTTAGTTCTATTTCATGCTAGAAGGACACATGAATTAGTATTACAATTTACTTCACAAAACTGTTTAGTGATTTGCCGGTCGTTGTATACTGTCTATTTATTATAACTAGAATTAGAGGGTCAAATGTGTGCTGCATAATATTTCTTGTAAGATTGTATGCCAAATATTGTGACTTTGTACTCGTTGCATTGTGTATATTTTGGTATACAAATAAAACATTATCTAATATCAGAAACTCATAAGGGGTTTATAAGTTTTTGCTCCATTGAAGGACTCATACGTCCAATAAGGCATCAAAAATAACCGGCAATTTTGTTTTAGAGTTAGGGGTGCTTTTTATCATTTTTTTAGCCTTCGCCGACCTCAACCAAAGCCTATAAATATACACAAGTTCCGAAACGTCAGTAGGTTAAGTACGTTTTTCCTCTAAGGTACTAAACATTCATGGTTTTTATATGTTATCTTTACACCGAGCAGTTCATATAGATTTTATTATCCTTGTTCATTACAAACATCATGTCAGGGATCAAACTGGAATAATACAGATTTTTAGTTTACATTGCTCATAAACAATCTATCCTTTAGTGTCATTTGTTTTTTGTTGTCCTTCCTACTACACTAAGACACTGATCGTAGCATATTTGTTGAGAGTATATGATATAATGCAAGACGATTGCAGTTTTTCTTTTCATCTTTTCGTTACATTCCTTTTTCTTCCCCAAGTAATCGACATACCACTGACCTGTGCAGTGTAATCAAAGCATCACTGATCTAATGTATGTTTGGTAGTCAGTGTGGATAATGGATAAAATGTACTAGTGGCATGCACATATACATATCTATTACTTTTAAGTTTGGTCATATCAGAACAAACAGAATTCTAGTCAAAGCAAGACCGTTTTATAGCTTCTGGTACGGATTGTGTGCACTGCTAATGTTATTTCTCGGGCTTGGAGCCATCATATGTTCATATGTGAGTAGAGTTTCCTTGCTCCACAAACATTAACTTCCAATACAGCTTTTTGATTTGTCTCGAAAAGTGGGAGCTTTGCTTTGTTCTGGTTGTCTCAAACTGAGATTCAGCAGTCAAAGCGAATAAGAATTTTTTGATACATTTTATTGAACGGAAGTTAAGTAAATTTAAGAAAGAGATCGGGGGGAAAATATTCGCATAATAGATTAGCTTCCGCTAAACTTTTATAAAATTTGATGAAACTTTGACAAATTAGAAAGTCATCATAATTTCATGATGACGTCAATCGAGGATTTTGTCCTCAATTATGTTTACTTACAAAACATCTCAAAATATTCTTTTCATTACCAAAACGCAAGAAAATGTCTTAATCTGGATTCTTCTTACTTCCTTTCCTCAAAATCGCATGCAAGATACCCCTTTTTTAGTTTGCAGCTCACTTTCAAAAATCAGATTGTTTTTTAATAACTCCGATATCTCGGATGATCTCTGATAGACTATGAGACAGCGATTAGCTTTGACCTTTGTTCTCAGTGTTAAGGACGTTGGAGTATAGTGTACGTGATGAAGAAATGATCGTTTGTTTAGAACACACACACAGCCCGTGCAGACATCAATTTGGTGGTACTTATGCACGTGCCATGCAGTTAAACCCCTTAACTTTGGCCTTATTATTTTTCGTCTGTCATAATTACATACGTCAACCCTTCCGCTTCTTTTTATACAAACCAGTAATGAAATTTAATTGTGTTAAGATGTGTTTTACTTGTTCCAGAAACACTTTTGGGAAATAGTCCGGCTCTTCGTTTTTTTGGGCAGCAAAGTAAAGACAAGATTTTTGAAAATTTATTCTCTGTTAAAATTAAGCGACAATGACCCTTGAATCCAATTGCGATTGATCAGGTTACTTCGAAATACTGCCATTAAAATTTAAAATCAGAATTCTGTTCTTTTCAACTCCATCTTCGATTCTTTTTATAATTTCCCATCCGGAATATTTGAATTTTCTTTTTCGAGTTTAGTCCGCCACCTCTCCACACTTACACAAACCCCTTCATCTTAGGGAGGAAGTTAAGAATGGTCGAAATCCCTGACCATTTTCGTGTAGGTTTTACTGAGCAAAATTCATGTCTTTTGATCACAATTTAATTCACATGTTTAGATTAGCTGACTAGGAATCCACACGAAATTAGTCCCAGCAAGTGACTAGAATGCTTTTTCTAATTAACTTGATTTTCTTTAATTCTTCAGAGTTTTGAACTGGTAAGAAAATGGGCCACATTTTTGCAGTGGTTCCCTTCTGAGTGGATCAATTCCATCTTGCAAAAATAACCAAGTTGCAATTCCCATTTTACCAGGCTTAAAACTATCTATGAAACTATTAGGAAATGATTTTCCTTTGGTGTTTTTGAAGCAGGAAATGTAAACTGCATGGGTTCCAAAATAGGCTCGCAAAAACAGTAATATTTGTAATAAGGAAGGCATTTTGACTAGTAATTTTAAAATACTGAATACTTGAACAGTAACTAGATACACAAGAGGAATGATTACATAGGGAAGATAAAAATCTTTATTTATCTATGAAACCTTCAGAAAAACAACCTATGGCCATATATCACGTGTGATGTTACTATGGTAATGTGATGACGTAATTACCCTAGGGTGTCGTAGATTGAGAGAGGCATGTTTGTACGACGCTAGCCTGATCCATCTCTGGATTAACCGACACCATAATGGTTTGATTTGAATTCTAGGAAATTCTAGAAGAAACTCGAACTTCATTTTTTTGGTTACATGTAATTTTTCTAATAATAAACATGGTATGCATGAAAACGGTTATCATTTAACATCACCAATCACAGATACCCCTGTATTATATCTTCCTTCTTCCTTTTTTTTTTTTTTTTTTTTTTTTTTTTTTTTGTTTATTTATTTATTTATTTTTATTTTTTATTATTAGCATAAATTGTCTTTGCATTCTCATGAATAATAATATTCCTGAAGCATTCTGCTAGTGGTAGTAAAATGTCGCCATCATGCAAAATGTCTGTTATCATGGCAAATTCGGGTACCATTCGTTAAAAGGGTCACCTCCACCCACCTTACCACAAGTGAGAAGCGCCTTTCTTTTCATAACAAACACCTCTTCCAGGAACTATAAAACAAGAACGCAGAATGTTCGCCTTTCAACACACGCTGCGATATTGATTGGTTTATTGGTTTATTGTTTATTGTTTAGGATTTTCCCGTCTTTTCACCCTTCATAAGAATTGTTCATCACCATGATGGTTAATATGTATATGTATCAGTATCAAATGAAAGGAAACTCTGATTACGCTATTCGCCTACCGAATACTCAAGTTATTTTTAGACTAGACTATTGCACTCATACAGAATTAAAGGAAGTGGTATCTCCTTCATTGCTATGACAGTTTCCCTGCATTTTGCGAGTAGCAAGAATAGACCTCTTTACTATGATGAGTGTTGTCCCTTGCTTGACGTTTGCGCATGGGAATCTCATTCCAGAAAAAAAAATTACTCGTGGTCTGAAATGAACAACAGTACGTCCAAGGTAAAGAGGTTTATTATAAACCCCTTGCATGTGACCTCAAAGCAGCTCAATTTTGAGGACAAAGCAAAAGAATTTCAATCTCATGAGAATTGGAAACATATTGTTATGCCCTCCAAATTAAGCTGCATTCCGACGTGCTGCAAGGGGTCTATTACTTCAAAATATGTACCAACGTTTTATTGGTATATATGATAAACTGATCATTTGATCATATTATGAATGGAAAATGGCGCAACATAAGTAACACACATTATTGAATACTTCTTATGCATCCGTTGCATTCCTGTTGGTCTCCGAAACAACGCCCTAGCAAAATAATCGTTAGAAAATATATCTGTTGTAAGGAACTGTAGGTGTAGATTTACCTAGTGCAGTGGCCTGTCGTATCTGTTTTGTCTTCCGCCCATAAAAATTATAAAAATAATCATTATGATGCTATAATCCATGACTATTTTTATATTATTATATAATCACGCTCTGATTGGTTCAAAAGTGTTCTACCTGAGAACGGAACATGCAAGGGCTGTCTATTCTGATCCGTAATTTAGCAAGAAGAGGAAGACATAATCAAAATAGATTTCCTGCGTCTCTCGATCCAGAGGCTCATGCCTAAAGTGTTAGACGCCTCGGCCGGATTAAAACTTAGAAGTTGAGTTGATTTTCGCAAATATGGGAACCGGAAAGCCATCGTGCAACAGTCAACTCTACCCAAAGAGGTTCAAATATGATGGCGTGTTCGTGGATCGATCGATCGAGGCCATGACCATGAATAGCGGTAAGAAGCAGCGCATTAGCAGCAAACACCTCCTTTGTTTTCCAAATAGCTCAGTTTTTTCTATGCCTTAAGCTACACGTTACCTTTACAGCATTAATAGTTGAAAGCTTATCCTTTCATCGTTTCATACATACTACGGAGTCGTACGGGAAAAAAGATATCATATTTCTTAAGAGGAATTAAAAACGTGAAAGTAAACTTGTTTGAGCTGCTTCTGTGTATAAAGCATAAATAATTGACGGGAATGTATATAAGGAGCTTGAACACCTTATAATAAAAAGTCGAAGTAAAGAAGCCTCTTCCTTAATAACAATTTCAAAATGACTGTTTCCTTATATAATTCAGTGACCGTACGCATTTCCAACGTGCTTGTAGTGTAGTGGGCGTATGATATTTTTCTCTTAATATTTATTTTATTTTTTCACATCGAACGCAGCAAATTTCTACTGATTGAGGTTAACCCGACAAGAAGTCCCCTTTAACATTAAGAACATTTCCCGGAAGTCATGTCATATTCGTTTTGACTCGTTTGTGGATTTCTTAGAAATGTTTATCAATTATTAAAGCGTTATCTAAGCGACGAAAGAAAAACACATGATCATCTTGCGGCACATATCACATATCTGTTCAGTGTATCTAAATAATATTTTTGAAACCATACAGTACTCAATCATCAAACACTATCTATATTACAAAAAGCTATTAAAATAATTGCACTTAATTAGTAGTCTTTGGATGGGATAATAAGGATTGTTGCATGTAGAACTCTGGCCACAAATTACTTTCAAATGTGATTAGCTAGTATTTTATTATAAGCATTTACGTTGCAAACGTATTTATCGAGTAGTCCATCTCGTCTGTTTGTTTTCCTGCCAACCTGACTGTCTGTCTGTCTGTTTCCTCCATTGGTTGTTGGTTAAGCAACAACAGTGATTTAAAATAAGTGAATTGCATACTCTTTTCAATTTATTTCAATTTTATTAACAAAGTATATTAGTATATTGCACGGCGGCAACACTACAACTACCAGGCTCATTTTAAAACCATACAGTACAAAAAGTACAACAACAACTGCTGTATCTACAAGAAATAATATTCTTAATTTCTTCCCAGTTCACATCAATACTTTGGGTCCAACATTCACAGCAAATTTTCCTTGTACGTTGCCTGATGGTCTGAACCGTGCCACGATATAATACTCAGAATTGTCTTTTGATGGAGCGATTCCAAGTCCCATTTCTTTCGAACCTTTCCACACAAGCTGCAAGTAAATTTCAAATTGAATGACCATTGTAACTGCATCTGTCATTGTATTGGGGAATACATATTAACAAAATTTATTTTAGAAATATACAACGGTTTTATGTCTCTTTCATGTAATATCAAGCACATAAATCAACGAAAAATGCTGTTTTATTTTTCTTATGAAAAAAAGGCGTAAGCTTTTTAGATACACTTATCTAAAATGGCATTAATTGTTGACCAATCAGCTCGCGCGTTAGGGCTCAGTTATTTTATAAAAATAAACTGTCTTTCTTTTATGAGGGTGACTCACAAACCCCCGGTCCTAGTTCTATAAACGGGTTGGAAATTTAGAAGGATTTATTTTTTAAAGTTAGGAGAAAAACTTAGAGAGCAACACCTTGAAGCACAGTTAGAGAACCAACAAGTAACACTAACTACAGTGCTGAGGGACGGCGCATTATCAGCGTGCTTTCCAACTATGAAAGTTTTATTCGAGCAGGCTTTAGATTTTGTAGCTGTACTAACTGTTTACCTGAGTAAAGTGTCCAGTTGCCTTACTAAATGCAGGGTTTTTATAGTCAAACATTTTTTCCTCTTCATACCAAGCATCTATCGCGTTCATCACATCACTGTTACTTGCTGGTAGCTTAGCAATGTTCTCTCCGTCTGTCATTGACGTATCGTGGTCAAGTGTTCCTTTCTGAGCAAGCTTCTCTGCCCAAGCTTGGGATTCATTTGCCAGTTGTTCGTTCCAGAATAATGGCGCTGAGCCATGCATTGCTCTATAAAGGTTTATCAGCATGAGAGATTTGTCATGTTGGTCTTTGTCCACTTTATTAGGCTTCTGGGATGGAATTGTGGGACCTGAAATATAATGATTAGTTATTTAAATCATTCGTACGTACAGAACGTAAGAGAACCGAATCCTTAGAATCAATATAAGTTAAGAAACAGTAATGTGTGGCAAACTGACCTGTTGTGGATACTGTTGGTCCTGTCGGAGTAAGTGTAGTTGAACCAGATGATGTTGCTGATGGTCCTTTCGTTCCCCCTGTCGGGGTAAGTGTAGTTGAACCCGAAGATGCTACTGATTGGGTTGGTGTGGTTGGACCGGTTGACCCCCCTGTTGGGATTTTAGTTGGTGAAGCAGTCGATTCAAGTGCTGTTGTGGCATTTGTTTGAACTGTGTTTGGCGAGTTGGTTGATGATGTAGCGTTGGGTGCTGGAGCCGTTGTGGGAAGCCTCGAAGTACTTCGAGATGTTGGAGGGTGAGGAACACCTACAGCTGATCAGTTAAGATATAACAAATACGATTAAGTTATTATTGTGAAGTTATTATTGTGAAATTACTTGTATACTTGCTGGGAACCGGACTATTGTGCGGAAGATCGTGGCTTAAGCCTCGCTGCTTGTAACATCTCAGGGTCTTAAAATAACTGAGTAGAAGCTGCTGCCTTCGTTCTAAAAATTAGTTTTAATGGTCAAAACCTCATGTGGCTTGCATTATTACTTAAAATGGCGATGCCGTCCCATCCAAAAACGTTGAAAGTAGAGGGCCACAAGTTTATCAGTTGCTAGTGTTACTTGTCACCCCCATTATAAATAAAGTCGATTTTATTTTATTTATTCATCACAATCCTTTGTTTTTCAAACTTTGGTTTTATTTCTAATCTATCAGTGAAGTGAGTAAACAGGTCTTATTGCAAAGTATACACGATAGTGTGGGGTAAAAATATGTGAACGTAATTAGATTGAACGGAAGTTTGAAAAACGGGATCACGATCAAAGGAATTTAGCATTAATGCAGAGAATAATATACCTGTTGATAAAGGAACGAAAGTCACGTTTGGTTTTCCATTGCACTCTGTGAAAACATTGTTAAAGAGGTTAAGGAATGCACGAAATTCATCAAGTGTATGTTACGAGATGACATTGATTCTAAAGGAGCGATTGCACGGAGCAATTTGTCTCTGCAAATTGTTTCGCGTTGCAACACAAGTTGCTTGGAGCATTGCAACGTGTATCCTACTGCGCAATCGTTACAAGAAGTAGAATTCGCTTCTACTTTTGGCAACGATGGTTTCTCCGCGTACACTCTTTTTGCAAGACAAGTTGCAGAGAAAATTGCTCCATATAATCGCGCCTTAAGACGATAATGGGATACAAGATTAAGGGATAGCAGCGTAAAGGCCATGGGTTTTTTAACCATCTCACAAAAGCTCAACTCCAGCCATGCCTTTACAACTGTCAAGCCTTCTATTTTGTGTAAGTTTGTATATTACAGAATATAATCTTGCAACTTACTCTGAATGATCTTCTGTTGCTTGGTTACTGTTGTTATTATTAAATATTCACAATTACTGCTTCCTTCGATGAGAAATACAATAGCAAATGCTTTCTTAAAAAAGCCATCATCTTTATCTATCCTACTATTCTCCGTCGCTTTCTCCCTCCCTCCCTATCTCCATCCATCCATGTCTCTTCCTCAATAGATCCCTCCCCCCATCTCTGTCTCCCTTCGTCCATCTATCCCTCTACCCATCCACCCTTTAATCAATCCTTCCATCCATTCATCTGCCTTCGATCCATGCATCTTTCATCCATCAAACCTTTCTTCCTTCTTTTTCCATAATTCCACTTCCATTCCATTCTTTTATTGAATCTATTTTTAAGCTATATGACTTCTCCCTTTCGTCTCTTCGTTTTATCTCCTGAATTACCTAGCTTCTTGGATGAAGATGTGCTTGGTATTGTGCTTGAAGTCGTTGAAAGAGTTGTTCCTGCGGGAGTTGATGATGTCATTCCTCCTGTCCGAGAAAACATTTACAAATTATGGGATTTGTTTCCTACTGTAACCAGTCCGCACAGACGCACATGCTTTTATGAAAACCGTTTGCAGAAATCACGTCAAAATTACTGACTATCGAGACATCATTGGGTAGCGATGTAATCATCGTAGGATCGTTTTCAGTGCCTCATTTCTTTCTAGACTACAAAATCAGTTAATATTGGAAAATTGGAATTGGAGTTGAAGTTGGCACAGACTTTAAAGCAATAGCAACATCCGAGTCTAACATTGTCACATGAGATGCATTCAAGGATCTGAATATGACGTTTTTGGCATCAATACTCAATTTACTTTTAATCTTTCAAATTTTGGACTAAGGTTGATTAAAAAACTGAACTTGAAAGAACTGCATTTGTTTTCATGGTTTGTTATTGTGGCCCATTTAAGATTGCTTTAACAAAAAGCAACGAATCTTTTTACCAAGATGGCAGCCATGTGACGCGTGATCATGATATGACGTAAATTATGTGAGGTTAAAATTAGCATGATATCGTACCTGTTGCACCAGAAGGGGTTTTTGTCATACTGGGCGTAGTTGGAGGAGTGGTGCCTGGTCCGCTAGAAGGAACTGCTCCTGTGGAAAGAAGATCCAGCTAATTGTAGGATTGGTGACTCTTAAACTTTTAGACTTAAGATTCTTTATTATTTACACATATTAATTAATTTACATGGTACTTAGATAAGAATTACAAACTATAAGTTTTAGTTATACAAATGATACATTAAAGATGAAAAGAGAAAGTGCGTTGGGGGTTGCTGAAGTAGTTAAAACTTTCGAATCATGACAAACACCCACACTGATAATGATTTTTAATATTTTTTCGTTTAGGGCCAACGCTGAATCATATCGAAGCACGACACTTTGAAGATTTATACCAGAAGGGTCGCCCACAAACATAAACACAAGCCACTGATTGGATTAGAAAACCAAGCAAGGCTGGAGTCTACCAAACTGTGAGCTGGCTGGCTGTTGCTCGTTTTGATGAGCAACAGACCCATTTGCACAGGTTAGGCCTCGTTCATAATTCAGCTATTAATAAATACTATTAAAAGGCATTGAGATTTCAAAACATTGGTATTGTTCGAGCTGCACATTCTTTTCCGGGCTCTTTAAAAACGAGGCTATCGAGAGACTAAACTTGTGCGAATGACTCTGTAATTGAGGGTCACAGCAGTATTGGAAAAAGGGCTATTGTATTGTTAATAGTTCTTCTGCACTCTTTAATCTTTGTTATTTAGCCACAAACTGAGAGTCTGTTTAGAAAATACTAACCTTCTGGTAATACATTCTTTTTAAAATCTTCTGCGCTGCCCATATTGCCTCGGGGACTGTATCGAGCAACTGTGATAAACCCATACGTCTGGCTGATTCCAACGCCAACACCCAACTCTACTGACGCCTTCCATACAACCTAAAAAATAATAAAAACTTTCGGATATCCCTTGAAAGAAATGAGTGAGGTTTGGGCACACATTTGTCACACGGAGTCTGGGTAACACTGGGTAGACAGCCATTAACATACAGATGACGTGAAACAAAATGGAGAGATATTGCAGAGCTGAGAGACCTCATAGCTTGTAAATTGCTCTCAGACAGCATTTGAGCGCACGGATTATGCAGGATAATGATCTATCCCGAAAGCATAAGGGGAGAGACTAGTTGGCCCCCAGACCGCACCTGCCACTTATCCCGCAATTTCGACTTCGAACTAAAGTGGAACATAATCTTTATATCCGGTGCTCTCTTTTCGCTTCTAATTTGAACCAATTCATTGGAACCGTGGCCCAGTGGGAAAAAATGGGTATTCAAAATACTACTGAAGTCGAGTCGAGTTGATGGCTGACCTCATCAATTTTTTTACTCGAGTTTTCGTTCTTTTTTTCGATTTGAAAATATCTAAAACTGCTAGAGCTGACCGAAATTCTAAAGTCCCGATGTATTTCAACAGTACCTGCGTGAAATGAAGGTATACTTTTCCTCCAGCTTTAGCTTTCCCCGTATTAAAATCATAATCGTTGACTTCATTGTACCAATCGGCTACCATCTCTGAACACTGAACACAATCATCTTTTTTAGCCCCCATGCATTTCTTCTTGGGAGGAGAAAAATAAGCCAGATTTTCGCCTTGGTTTTTCGACGTCACCGACTTCATATCGTGCTCAAATTTGTCCTCTTTCGCTAACTGGTCTGCCCACTTTTGGGCATCAGCGGCTAAGGATGCCGACCATTTCAGTGGTGGAGATCCATGCTTTTTACGATATTCATTGTGGGCATCTAGGCAATTTGTGTCAAAACCATCCTGGCAGCTAGCTGTGAAAAAAATGCAATAGTCAGTGACAGATTGCACGACTAGTACTATGATATTAGGCATTGGTTTGAGTTAAAACAGTCCTACAATGCGCTGCAATGCCAACTCGATCCAGTTTTTTCAATTAAACTTGAAATAGCAAATATGTTGCTATTAATAGCTGTCATTTTAATTCGGTCTCGTGTTAAATTTTTACCGGCTAAAAGGCAAACTCATCATATAAATGCACATGGATGATTGAGAGCAGTATTTGCCGTTAAAATGTGGGTTGGTATTTCTTTTCATGAAATTCATTACGTTCAGGTGATTAATATCAAGCAATGGGCCATTTGCTCCAGTCAGTCTCATGGACCAACCCCTCATTAACTTATGCAAAAGTGACTTAAAACTTACTTTGATACCGTCATTGATAAAATATCTTTTTTTAACAATAATCCAGTATCCAGAGGTTTCGCCGCGATTTTAAAGGACAAAGCAACAGATATTTCCCGTTCTTTGAAAAATGATTTTTAAGAAACATCGAGTTTATTTCTGGCCTATAACATTGCTCTCGTGAAATTTCTCTAAAGATCAAGGAACCAAAATCGTAATTCACTTACCGAATGAGAAGAACGACAGGAACAGATTAACGATGATAATAAATAACATTGTTTAACTCAACTAGAAAATAATTGATGATAGATGTAATGAAAACCAAACCCTGAAAGACAAAAAGAAGAAAGAACTGAATGTCTTGAGAAACAACACTAACATGTGAACTGGGACTCTTGACAGTCGATTCCTGTTTTTTCCTTCAGCCGGGTGTGGGAGGAAATTATCTATGAGGTCTATAAGTGGCACGTGTGTAAATAACAAAGCACTAATAGATTTCCATTGTCGGTCCTCTTATTGATCATAGACGACGTATTAAAGTGCTCAAAACTCAAGTGGAACCACTCTAAAGTAAAATGTAAAACAATTATGTTGAGATGTAAAATGAAATTAAATACCACCATTAGCTATGAAAAAGCGATGCGAAACTGTCCCATGAAGTGCCGTAAATGTAGGCTGGTATATAGTTTTCAGGGGGTGTGTGTCTTACTTGTACAAAGGTCGTGTAGCGGTAGTACATGCACACTCGCCACTCTCTGGGTCTTTATTACATGGGTCTGCATTACATGACAGTGGAGATTTTTGGGTCTCTTCATTGATCTCTTTTTTTTTGGTGGTTTTTTATTTTCAGCCTTCCTTCTTCCATCTGTAAGTTAGTTGTGCCCTGACATGGATCAGACCAAAGCTTTTTTCCAGGAAATCGATCGTTTATATTGAAGCGTTAGGAAGCTAACGGATGAATTTAAATTAATCTAGGTTGCTGTTTCTGTTTTCAGAGATATAGGTTGTCTTACTTGTACATGCGTAGATTCAAGGGTGGCGTGGCGGGAGTAGAGCCTGCTTCATTCAGGATATCGATAAAATAAAAGATGTTTTAAAGGTACTCAAAGGTACAATTTTTGATATTAAAAAAATATTGTTTAGTATATGTAATAAGACTCCATGTTGTCCAATTAAGAAATAATTGGACGAGGAAAATTCCGAGGACCGGACAAAATTGGATGAGGTTGTAGGCCGAGTCCACTAATTTGGCATTCAGAGGGATTTTTTGAGTCTAACTATTTCTTGATTGGAGAGCATGAAATCCCATTACCTGTTGATTATATAGCTGCCTGATTAATCCCATATCAACAAGACCTGTCCAATTAGTATAGGAAATCACACGATCTTCTCGTACAATTTGGAAATTAATAGACACGAGTAATGTTTTGAAAGTTCTTATAATTGCACGAGCCTTTAGGCGAGTGCAATTAAAGAACTTTCAAAACAATACGAGTGTCTATTAATTCCAAATTGTACGAGAAGATCGTGTGATTTTTTGTTTATAGTTCACTCAACAAAATTTCAGTAAAAAATTCGAAGCGACGCCGTTCATCTTTGTCTATTTGGCGGCCGATTTTCAGTCCATCGTGCAACTGAAATGCATAAAAAAGATTAGTTCTTACGGCTTTAAAATTTTATTTATGTTTTTTAAGTACAAAATGATAGAAAATAATTGTTTTGACATTGTTTTGGCCTTGTTGCCATAGCGACTTAATTCGGTACAATTAACGCTATAATTGTACTCCTCTCGACCAATCAGAGTCGAGTAATTTTGTTGAGTGTACTATAAAGAAAATAATTGGACAGTTACCTATATGGGATTAATGAGAAACTGTATAATTATGAATGTAATTCTTTCGTTTCTTCGAAATATCTAAGCCCCCATGTCAACATGCTTGTATTAGTGTATCATGATCATTAAAGCGCATGTTTAAGCCCACAGTAGCTGCAGTACCATCACTAAGAATCCGCGTTTCATTTGGCAAGCCCGAAGAAATAAAGAGATCCCTAAACGAATCCTAGGCTTTAATCAAAGTCTAGGACAATCTGGAATATCTCTACTGGGGTCGTCACAAAACAATCTCTCTTCCTGTATTCCACCGGAGTTTAGAAGGAAATGAGGAAAACCTTAACGGCGTTTATTGGTGTGGGTTTTAATGTTTTGGTTGTTTACTGTTTTTTAGACAATCAGAAAACAGTATATCAATAAGAACAGTCTTCAGTTTAACACCCAAACTCTTACTCCAGCATTCAGATTCTTTATGTCAGAGGAGAGGAAAAAAGAGCTCGTTTTCTATTGCTAAATCATGACATAATATCCAGCCAATAGACTAACTATATATCGTACGATGACTAACTTAGAGAATTTTCGTATGACTTTGAAAAGACGGAGGCACGAACACGGCAGTGAAACGGCAAGGGATACGCCAGAACAATCAAAATGCTCGAGAATTACTCTATATCCAATCCAATACCCGAAACACGAAATGAGCACGGCGCGGACACGATCACACCAAGGTCACGGCACTGCCAGAGCAATCAAATTGCACGAGAAAAAAATCAGCCAATTCATATTCTAGGAAACATCACGTTTACTGCAAGCTTACGGCACTGAGCTCTTCACAGTCATGCGAAAGCTGCTCTACGACCTAGAGTGCAATCCATATATCCGTAAAATAGAATAAAAACTAAATAGCATTATGGTTCCGTGCAAAATTTGAGGGTTTTGTCCTCTTGAGGTTCAAAACGTGTATGGTTCTTCAATAAAATCGTGAAGATTAGTCAACGGTTTTTGAGCGCGCACATCGTGGGCTCAAATCGAATGTTGAAAAGTAGTCAGCCACCTTAAACACATAGAGGATATTACATGGGCGCGCGGAGATACGAATTTTATCTTCGAGTGTTCAATTGATATCTCACGAGTGAGCGCAGCGAAGATAAAATATAGATAAAATTCGTATCTCCAAGCGGCCATGTAATGTTCTGTTTATTATATAGATATCGATGAAACTTAAATAAAACAAAAGCAGAAAAATTCTTTATTAAAATAGCAAGCCGATTCAACAGCGATATCTTCACGTGTGAAAGATATGATATCTTACACCGGTGAAAGATATCAAGTTTTCGACACTAGAGAAAACCTGGTATTTCATCGCTATCTATTTAATCGCTATCTATTTAATAAATCTATTTCTTTTGTTTTCAATTGTTTCATTGGTGCTATTTTGCACTAATTAGTTTGTACTATTTCGTTGATGTATGGTTTGCACTCTATCCTTTGCGAGGTATTTGACATGATATATTTGATTATGAAATTAATGTCGTGTATGTTGAAAATAAGTATTTTTTCTAGGATGCCTGATAAGGCCTTGACATTGATTTATTCTCCAATTTCATATTTTTGATTTGGAACGCCCTGACGTAACTGGTATCGAAATAGAATCTTTTTTTTTTTTCCAAATTCTACTGTTAGACGAACAAATGTGATAATATATCCAAATAAAAGGTGCCAATTGAAATTGCAAGTGTCCTTGAAACCAAAACAAAAAGGGCTGAATTATAAATATAACTTAGTAAATTTTTCATGGCTTACCTATTATGATATAAGTAGGAAATCAACCTCAATTGTTCTTGCCATTAAATTAAAAAAATAAGAGCGATTTTTTTGAAGGTGGCTGTTTATATTCCGGCTTGTTCGTTTTTTATCAGACTTGGCTGTGTAGCCTTGTAGGTCTTCAAATACATTATTCATTAAAGTGCGTCAAATTGTTCTGGTTGTAGCTGTGTTCTTTTCCGAAAGGTCACTAAGCAGGTGAACATGCCATAAAAAGGGACATTTTCAGGTATTTGATTGGTCAAAATCAAGGAAGACTACCCAAGACCGTCGATAAATCGTTTGAATTAGTTAAAGTTGCGTCAAATGCTTAGTTTCTTTAAATTTAAATTTGCACGGGCGCATGCTCATAGAGAGCGGAGCCGTGGAGGTAAAAACTAATTCCCCCAAAAAATATTATCCCCTCTTTAAATAAAAAAATATTAAATATCGTTTTCGTCTTCGCCTTTGCTTTCACATATATTTTGGGCGACTAACATTGTTTTAAAAATTTAGCGGCGACATTTATTGCCATTCTTAAAGTCGTGTCTTTTCGCTTGAAGTAAATAATAAGTAATAAGTGTGTAGTAAGGCATTTTCTCTAGATTATCATAATGATAATGATGATGAGGATGATGATGAAGATGATGATGATGATTATGATGGTGATGATGATGATGATAATGATGAAGATGATATTAATGATGATATTAATGATGATGATGATGATGACGATAATGATGATGATGATGCTGTTGATGAAGAGAAAAAAGAGGAAACAAAATCAAACCAAACCATTCTTGGCATTCTTTGCTTGGTAACACATCGCACTAATTTAAGCTTTAAAACTTACCCATTTAACGATCACTTAGTGTTGATTTATCTTGTTGTCCTGGCAACGAAATCTGAATGTACTTGGCTAGGATTTTGGAACAGAATGAAGATTCCAAGCAATGTTTATTTCAATTTATGTTTTATTATTTGTGTGTTTTTATTATAATCCTTTTTTCATTGTGTTCTGGGTTGAGGAATGGAGTTCCTGGCATGGCATAACCATGCAACATCTTAATGGAATTAAGTAAGACACTTGGTTCAGCCTTTCATGCTTTGAAAATTTCACGCATGGATTAGCGGGCAAAAAAATATACAAAATTGGGTTGCTAGGGCAAATACAAATGCATCTAACAGATCGGCAGATACAAACACGCCTGACTAGTCGATCGGCCCCTTTTTACTGCTTTTCTTAATTACTTGTGATTACATGACATAGAATAATCAATAAAAAAATGTATGCAAAGGAATTTCGGGAAAAATCAAATTATAAACACAGGCTAACTTCGAAATGTTGGAATGTTGTTACATTTGATTTAAAAAAATAGAGAAATGAAAAAGAAAATACTCAAATAACAATTTWAAAAAAAACTGCTGAATTAGTGCTCTTGACGCAATTAGTTTACCAATTAATGCGTCATTGTCTTAAACGAAGCTAGTTAAAAAATAATACGGATGTAGTGACGTCTAATTATTATATGGAGTTTGCAAGGGATGAAAGTGCAGTTGTTTAAATGCCGACAGTAACAACATCGATCGAACAAGCAAAGCATCGATTTTGCCTGGATCAAAAGGTCAGTCATTCATTCCTCTGCCGCTTTGCCATTTGAAGCTAACTTTATATTTCAAACAATTTTGATTTCTTTGCATAGCCACGAAGTAAGCCGCTTTTTCTTAGCATGATCTGGAGAAAAAGCTGAATCTAAACCTGAATAAAACAACCGTAGATTTGAGAACGGATCTACAGCATCTGAATTTACTATTTAAAATATACTTTATTTCTTGGAAGTCATAATTCTCTTTGATTCTTGCAGGCGAAACCATGACCAATAAGTCCATGCATAATAGTTCTCGCTGTAATTCCAATAGTGGCACAACCATCGTACCAAGCTATATTGGAATACTTCTTGGTATCGCTGCAACAGTTTTAAACATCGTGGTAGGATTTGCAGCCCTTAGGCTGAATAACAAAGCACAGAGACAAGCCAAGGGAAGACGAAGCACACCTTATACAGTAAGGTCCTTGGTGCGCTCTCACTCCATTACCTACGTATTCATAATCCACCATTCGATCTCCAATGCAGTGGAAAGTTCAAGTCTCATGGGAATGAATTTTTACATGTTGTATGGTACTTCTGGAGCGGCTATTATATCTCTAAGCGCTTGCATAGTCCTCCAGTTTTCAATGCTGGTTAGTTTTTATCAGATTGCATTCACAACAGTGGAACGCTACTGGTGCATGATTTTCCCGCTCCGCGTTGCTAAGACTGCGGTTTTAAAAGCAATAGCAATTGGAATTTGGATGATTTGCGTACTCCTCTCAATACCAGATGCTATTACTCTGACAAGAAAGTTTTCAACGACAAACTGCCCTCCAAGCTATATCTTCATTTCTTCTCTAAACTTTCCAGTCAAACGATATTTCATCATCGTTGTCCTACTCCCAATATTGGTCACCCTAGTTACCAGTCTACTGATACTAAAAAATCTTCGCGTCGTAAAAGACACAAACATGTTCACATTTAACAACCCTGTAAAAGCTTTAAATGGAACTACATCCTTAACCAAACGAATAGCTTTTTCCGTGCTGCTGCAACTCTCAATACTGGCTGTATTTATTACTTTCATTTGCGTACGTATCCCGATGTCATTTAGCATTGATATCGTTAAAACAAGCTATACTTTATTGTCTTTGCATACGGTTTTAAATCCTTGTACCGTAGTCTTAAGTTACCGACCAATAAGTCAGACCATCAAGGGATGTTTAGGTATCAGCAAAAAGAGATCATACCATATGAAAGTCAAATATTTACCCGATAGTTGTTTTCCTGTAGCTTTGGTTCAGTACAAAAGCTACAATTCAACACTGTAAGTTATATGCTTCACATTCTTTCCTTCCTCCATTGATTTCTTCCTTTCGTCCTATCTTCCTTCTTTCTCTGCTCAGTGCTTGCTAGCAATTGCTTGCTTGCTTCCCTTCTTCAAGCCATGTCTGCCTGTCATTTTTTTTACGTTATTTCTTTTTTCCCTTACTATTATTAATTTTGTTTCATTTTCAACCTTATAATTTGCCAATTTTTAATTACAAACAAGTTCATTTTTGTTTCTTTAGCTTTTCATTAGAAATAAAATCCAAAAAAATCGAATAAAAATTTTGCAATTTCTGTTTTGCTCGCTTTATTCATATTTTCCCTGATTTACTTTGCTTTTCTGTTAGAGTAATTACTTGAAATAATTTGAATTTGGCACAAATTAATTGCCAACAACAATTAGGCAATTTGCCAAAGTGCCGCTGGTGTTTCTTGATCGGTAGCTTCGTGCGAACATCAAAATATATTCACTAATGCCATCATACAACACATACAACGGAGTACAGAAAAAACATGGTGGCGCCCGCCAAACTTTTCCCACAATTTAAAGGATCAGGATCTGATCTAGAGCAACCGCGAAGTTTGTCACCCCAACATGGCAAAAATTCCATCGAGAATTTCTTTCAGAGTAGTCTGAAAGGTTTTTCGCAGGAGCCAGGAAACGGATAAAATATAGCGCGGGATCCGTGAAACTAGAAAAATTTCTTACACACTTGATTCGAGATATTGGCATCGGCCATGACTCGGGAATTGCTGGATTCAATGTCCGGGATGTGGTTTCCAAAGGGCCATCTTCTCGGTTAGTCTAACTACTCAGTTGACCCGAACCTATTCTTTCAGAATATCTGTAACATTATTTTAAGATATTCTGTAATAACCGGAAATCACTCAAGGTATTTTGCTTTCTGATTTTCGGCAAAAACGTGGAAACAATAATTAAAATAAAAATTCAAACGCCTTTGAATATGTTAAATGTAGTCGTCGATGGCAAAATGCTGCGGAACGCGAGATTTCGGGAAAGATAGTGCGTGATTCGGAATCTGGAACCCCCTCTTCCAGGCCCTGTTCTTTGGCATCCCTGATAATTTTGAAAGGGTTAGTCGTTGGAGTCGTGAAGTTCTGGTGTCCTTTACGTGACGTTTTCTCGTCCAAACATAGAGTGAGTTCAGTGACTACGTACGTGGTATAGTAATTACACCTTCTCTGCTTGTAACGCCACCGCGCTATTACAGTCACGTTTGTGTAAAAGGAAGATTTTGCTGGTAGGAGCAATGTAATGCATGTCATGTGTAAGCGCCGCTACATGGTTGATAATCAAAAGAGTGCTTTATTTGAGCATGGGCATCTCCAATCTAACCGAGAATTGAAGATCAACTACAGAACTTTTTTTTATCTCGTAACTACTTTTATTTTTGAGTATTACATACAGCTTAGTTGTAGCAGATGTTACGTTCAGGGCGGCATTCTGAAAGATTCCTAACCTTTTAAACGCCGCTTCGGCAGCTTAATCTCTCGTCACGCGTGCGCATTGGCGCTCTGTGCATAAATCCTCTGTGTCTGTACCTCGTTCACATTCCCACACATCTCTTTGCAAGAACTTTGTCAGATGGAATTAGCAAAATCATACTAAAATATCAAATAAGAATCAATTTATATCTTCATATAAATAAAATTGATAACTCTTGTTAGACATATTAATCGTGTACAGCCTTGGATTGCAAATTGCTCAGGGGAGCTTTTATTTTACGGCTGAGTAGTTGGAGATGAATATAATATGCAAGATAAAGTCTACATTGCTAATATCCTAATTTGCAATTTGTAATTTACTTTTTTACATGACAACCTCTTTGCAATTAGATGCATATATTTATTAAAATAACGTCACCGAAAAGCTACTGAGACCGATGGGGACCACCGCCTGACCGATGATGCGCGCATTAATAGCGACATCCTAACCCAGGGGTTTCACATTCCCAGAAAAATACCCCTGGACACGAAGTCTGTTAGAGATCGTTTCGGAAGTCCGAATTAATCTCTTTACTGATTGGTTAACCCGCTGCGGTCGACCAACAATAAGCATCAAGTATTCGTAATCAAACATGTTATGGCGTTATTTTGAATTTGGACTTCTGGAACAAGCTCTCTCAGAATTCATGCCCAGGGCTATTTTTTTCTGGGAGCTTTATCCCTGAATTCCCGAGGATGCGATAGTGATTGGCGGTTATTGTTTTTTGTTATCTATAGAGCGCCCTAATAGACCTTGTTACTGATACGGCGACCATCTTGAATTCTATTGTTTTCAGTAAGAGATTATGGGATGCTGAGGGAGACAATGTTGGAACATTTATGAACAGCACAGCTGTGAAAGTGTCTTTGATATAACTTGACGTCATCCAATGTGAAATACATCTAAAAGCCAATTGAATTTACAGGTAGTTGGAGCGATGTGTAAAACACACCAAACACCAAAGTCATTTGATAAAGTAACTTCGCCACTCTAAGCTTTGTAAATATTTTTACATTTGCTCCCTGAGCATCTCATACTATAAGGTGGATGCCGTATCAGTAAAAACGTCTATTTGGATATTTCAAGGTCTTGTGAAAAAATACTTAATTTCCTCCGGTTATCGAAATTTAAAGAGTCTATGCAGGTGACAACGGTAACAACAATATATTCAAACGGTAACAACAATATATTCAAACTCACAATTCGAACCAAAGATTTGGTTTTAAAACATATTTAATAATATCATTCATGACGACTAGTTAAATAATGATGACAATTCAATCACTTAAAGGACGTATTAGATACATTGTGCTATGCATCGTTCTAGGAAAAAGGAAACACAAGCGAATTCACCATACCACAAATACTATTCATAGCGCTCTTTTTGGACCAAAGGCTGTTACCAATCCAGGATTTTAAAGGGGATAAATTTTAATCAATTTCTTTCTATACTAAGCGTAAAATACATGATCGCCTTTACAAAGGGGAGCTCCATGAATGCCATAGTCATAATATTTAACTTAGTGGAAATATCTGATGATGAAAAATCTGAAATCGAAATCACATGCTTTGTGGATAATTAGAAAAGAATTTCACGTAAGGCGAAGGCTTCAAGTCCACACTTCAAGTGTAGCTCAATAACATTTCACATTTCGAGTTTTCAATACAATTTTTAAATGCAAAGTAATCATTAGATTTTTTTCAGTTAAAAATGACTTATTTTTGACAACTTTCAATGCTTGCCTCGTATGTTCGCTTATTTCTACAGTTCAAAAAAGTGAAATTCCATGCAATCTGACGAGTAAATGATGTCGGTAGCCCCCCATTTGTATCTGCTTATTCTACTTCTAGTATGATGTACTTTCATCATGCAAAATCTTAAAAATATCTGACGTTGGATTTTTTTTCCCATGAACATATTTAAGCTGTTCAATAATAAAAATGAAGTTTTTTGCTATTAACTCGCCAAGAGGAGAAAACAAATGTGGTATTTTTTGCGATGATATGTGATGAACTACGCAGTCATGTTCAATGATCTTGTTTCGCCGGCTTCATGAACCTAAAAACAGCGACTTCTTGTCAAAAATTGTCAAATATTTGTCAACTCTCGAGAAGTGCTTTTATTATCACCAAAAAAAACTACCCGAGTCCGCCATCTTTGTTTACATTCTCACATACCTAAAATCCTGTAGAATACCAACCACAATGGCGGATTTCATCACGTGACCTCTTAGTGCAAGTCGTGTATTTACAATGCAAGCTTTACTGTCATACTTTATCAAATTATAGAGAGAGAGAGAGAGAGAGAAAGAGAGAGAGGAGATAACTAGTTAAAAACTAGTGTTAGCTGCGTCGGTGTTTCTAATGAAACAGTAATGATAAAAGGGTATATTTTACACCGTGAAAAGATAAAAAAAAACTTATTGACGCTAGTCTTTCGTCGGAGTAAAAGAGGAAAAGTCGCTCTTTTACTCCGACGAATATATATATATATATATTTATATTTATATTTATTTATTTATTTATATATTTAAATTTATATACACTACCACCAAACCTCCCTTGATTTCTCAAACAACAAAGATCTAAGACCCTAATAGGGTTTTTGCCGCTTTACGCAAATGCTTCATTCTCCACAAATAAAAGATGGGATTGATCGTCGAATTTAAAGTTATAAACAAAGAATTGTACTGATGGACTACTAAAACATAGTAATGTGGTATCTGAGTTACAAGTCGTACGATAATATAACAGACCAATGGAAAGTAAACTAGGACGTTTAAAACTAGGACCAAAACAAGAGTGTTAAGGGAATGCCTGTATTTGGACACCCCGGGAAGCTCGACTGGTGGAACTGTAGCTAAGGCTTGTTGGAAGGATGTTTGTTCTGATTGGGGTTCTTTTGTTGTTGCTGGTTGGATGGGTGTTGCCTGTAACTGGTTGTTCTTTGGCTCTTGTGTTGATGTTGATGGGATTGATGTTATTTGGGATTGGCATGACTGTGAATCTTCTGTTGTTGCTGATAAGATGGATATCGATCTTATTTGGCCAGACCTTGGATTTTTAGTTGTTCCTGGTTGGATGTATGATATCTGGGATTTGCATGGCTGGGGTTCTTCAGTTGTTGCTGGTGATACAGATATCTTTCGAGCTTGGCCAGCCCTCGGATCTTCAGTCGTTTCTGGTTGGATGGATGTCACTTGCTCTTGCCATGACTGTTTTTCTTCTGTTGTTTTGTGTGAAATGGTATTCGGTCTCACTTGGTGATCCCTTGGATTTTCTGTTGGTTTTGTTTGAATGGATGTCACTTGCTCTTGGCATAATTGTGATTCTCGTATTGATGGTCGATAGATGAATGCTGGCAGGTTTTCTCGACTAGTTCCTTCAACGAAAATCGGCTGTCTTGAACAGGATGCTTGCAGAGGAACATTCTTCAGAGAGCAATAAGCTGTCAAGAACGATGCAACAATGGTTGACAGAAGCGCTAGAACAAATATAATAATGAAATAACGCTGTGCAGTTTCATTAAGGAATTTGAATCCAACGTTTACAAGAAAAATCCCGAACAGCCACAAGATCAAAACCAACGTAAATGCTCTTTTTCGGGTAACCACGAATTTATACTTGTTTTTCAACTTGACGGCCAGACATCTGTCCACGCTCATTATTGCCAGCATCATGAAGGAAACATAAACGATCGTGTATCCAACTCGATATATGACAGCCCATGAAAAGCAATGCACATTGGGCCAGTTGTTGAATGCTGATGATAGGAGAAAAACGGCCATGGCTGGTTGGAAGACAAGACCAGTGATCAAGTCTGTTAACGAGAGAGAACATAGAAGAATCTTGGATGGCGTATGTAGGGAAGGAGTTTTATAGACTGTTGCCATGATTAGAAGATTTAGAACACTCCCTGATAATGAAGCTAAAATAAAAAGTACTACCAATGGAAGAAATTTCTGTGGAATGTACTCATGCATGCTGCTTAAAATATCTGAATCACATATTTCAGAGCTCATTTTTCACTGAAAGATACGCAGAAGTTTCAAATGTGAACTGAAAATTCTTTGCGGCGAATGGAGGAAGACCACGACTGCTAGTGAACGAAGAAGTTTGCCGTTGTTAGAAGAATAGTTCTAAAATATGATGTTTCTTGTTTCAAAAAAATGTTCCACGTTTCCGTTGCCGAACTGACAAGCCCGTTTTTGTCTTAGTAATTTCCTATTTTCGATTTCGCCCGGGAAATTATCAACACATGAACTAATTTAGATTTATTGGGAAGGGCAAGGTGCATCCCCTACCTATTGTGAACCAAAGTTCTTAAACCCTTTTTTGTTACTGCTTTTAAAACGCTTGCAGCTGCATTTCATGCATTTTCCATGTGAATGGATTGTGAGCGTTCCTTCGCCGTCCCATTAAGACAGAAGAGCCGTATTGTATTAAAAGCATGACAGCAGCTTCTTTGTGAGATTTATATATGGCTTATAACAGAGTGTTTTAAAGCAATTTTTTCACCCGTCCCATGAAGACAAGACGAGCCTTATTGTGTGGTTTTTAGGGTTTACATAAACTAAAATACGTTAAGCATGACAGCAGCTTCTTTTCCTGGACTTTCTTTGGTTTGTGAGCTTTAAAAGAAAAGGCTTTTCCCCGTCCCATTAAAACAAACGAGACGTATTGTGATTTTAAGTTTTTATATGAACTGAATACACATGACAAACAGGTCATCAGTACACAAACAGAAGACACGAACGAAAATATCAAGACCATTGATAATATAAATTCTAGAAAATTATTACATAATCACCTTGGGAGGTATTGTTTGCCGAGGGACGTTTAACCGCTAACATGCTTCTGGATAAAATTTCACGAATGGAATTCAGCCAAATAATTTGTCATGAATATAATCATTATAGATATACAGACTACTAAGAATTCCTCATCACTATTCATGCTGAGGATACACATACCTGCATGACCTTGTTTTCTCAGATTTAAGATCAGATCATAATTGAACGAGAACAATTTGTTTGAAGTAAAGGTCAGGAAATTACAATTCGTTTTGTGTCATCATATCTTTCTTAATTTCACACGATTGCCTATGCAAATTTCCTGTCTAGAAGAGGTGGATTTTGAGCCCTTCCAAATGATTTCCCTTTCAGTTGAATTTTTCAAAAATTAGAGGTAAATATTACAAGATGCGTAAAATATAAATCTGACATGAACCTTCCAATTCAAAATCATATTTTCTACCTTAGACTGAAAATATCCTGAAAATAATCACAAAACACGAAAAGATATAATTCTTGAAAATCTTTAAATTTTCAAAAAAAAAAATTGTTTTACATCAATCTTTGCATAGTGATGTCAAAAAAATCAACTGGTATAGCAGGCCAATCACAATCGAGAATTTTTGATGGTCATATTATTATTATTATCATAATAGTTCTCCCTTTTTATGATTTTAGACGATTCGAATTGATTTCCTGGGTGCTTGGTTTTCATGCTGAAGATATCGTTTATGAGCTTCATCTTCTTTATTATTCGGCTTGTAGCTCACATCGGCAGAAACTAGAGTAAAAGACTGGGAAAAATCGAGAATATATAAATGCAGTAGCAGTAGCAGTAGCAGTAGCAGTAGCAGTAGCAGNAGGGGGAGGGGGAGGGGGAGGGGGAGGGGAGGGAGACGATGAGGTAGTGGAAGGAGATGAAGTATTGTAATCCAACTAACCTTGACAAGTCTGAGCAGCCTGCCAACCCTGAGAATACGAAAGACCTTGAGCACAGAAGGTGAAAAATCTCCTGTGGCATTGTCTGTGACACTATCTATAATAATGTCAATCACTGATAGTGTGACGATGAACAGATCAAGGAGGTTCCAGTAGTCCTTAAAGTAATGGATCCTGAATGCAGTTATCTGCGGGAAAATGACACAAAACATTCAGCTCAAGTTGGTATTATTGTCTAGTCTCTATATACACCACTATACTCACTATGCTACATATTATTTTATAATTAGCAGTAGCAGTAGCAGTAGCAGTAGCAGTAGCAGTAGCAGTAGCAGTAGCAGTAGCAGTAGCAGTAGCAGTAGCAGTAGTAAAAATCTGTATAAAACCAGTATAAAATCAATTATTCTTTTTTTTTTTCAGATTTCAGTGATGACAAGCTGGGGTAGCTTTGCATTCAAACGCTGCAACATTGCTAAAGATTTTCAAAACAAAAAAGGATTGAAGTAGAATAATGCAAAAAGCCTGTATTCACCTGTTCCTAAACGCTAATCCAATCGATAAACTAATTAAAATTTTCAAAATTATTTTGAATTTGCCAGGAAGGATACCGAAAGGCGTTAGCTAGTGCTTGAATTTATTAAATATGTAAATATGCTCGGGAAAAATTCCGAATCCCCCTCTCGTTGCCGGTCAAGTGCTAATACTGCTACTGCAAGTGCTCTTGCCACTAAATTACTGGGAACTCATAGGGAAGTGCAACTGGATAAGGTTTAAATAGTATTTAGTCTAGTCACTTAGGACGGACTTACACTGAGAAAACCTACTTTATTCCACACTTGGGATAGCTGTTAATCCCTAAGTGGCTAATTGAACATACTGATGTCTAATATTCACAAAGTGGCTGTGAATTAAGCGGAAATGTTGGCGCCAATACGCCCTCACAGCCACAACTGAGTGGGATTTTAGTTCTCGCCGTTATTATTGTTCGGAAAGAATTCTTTATCTGCCTAACTGCGACAAATAAACGCTGCTGGATATTATTAATCAGCTATCACGTTGGTAAATCTACTCCATTAAGTATATAGGGATTCAAACCAACCTTTCCATTACTAATTTTTGGATTTTCCAAGGACACTCCATCAATTACTGGTAAAGGAAATCCTTTGTCACCAAATTCTAAACAGAAAATATAAAAGGCTTTTAAAAATGCATTTATTCTTAATATGAAGCACGTATTCTTTATTAATGAGTTCCAAGATTTCGCCAAAACGTACTTTCGCTAATTTCATAATTTTGTTTTCGCTACATGGTTTTCAAAGAAACTTAAAAGTATTTTCTTTCTTATGATTTTTTATGATATCAAAAAAATGTCTGAATCATTCGTTAGGYATATTGAGTAAAAAGGAAATTTTGGCTACGATTCCTAAACATTTCACATTTTATCTGAAATTTAAAAGTATTTCACTAAAGCTATGTTTCCTTTCGCTTTTGTTTCCACTAGTAAGCTTTAGATAAAGTTACATTACAGTTTTGATTTATTAAGAGTGACTTTAAAAATTATGGTAAATCGCGTAACAAAAAATAAAATTATATGTATTTGTATTTCTTCGTTGGCCGTATGTTGGTAGAAGAAAAACGTGGGTATTTTCGATAACCTCGAATTAAACAACGAAGGTCTGAAATGGTGCTTACTAAGAGCGCGCGTAAAGAACTTAGTTATTTTGAAATTATAAAAATACCTGTGGAGACAGACAGATAGACAGTGTGCTAGAGGATCCTTACCGTTGATTTCTTTGATGACCAGCTTGTCAACAAAGACGTCAAGAAACACCTGTAGCAATTTGATGTTAAGCTAAAAGAAATAAAACTCAGTGTAGTTAGTGTAAAAATACTGCAATTTACCATGGTTACCTACACGTCACCAACTATCCATCATGGTTACGTTGACGCGATCAACCATTCACCATGGTTACCAACACCTGATTAACTATCCATCATGTTTACGTGCACATTATCAACCATTCACCATGGTTACCAACACGTGATCAACTATGCATCATGGTTACGTGCACCTCGCCTTAATGTGACGAACTACAACCATTGTGACATCTGCACGTGATCAACCATGTATATATATTAATACAACTTACCAAGATATTACCGATGGCAGAGTCTATAAGCCTTGCCTTAAGTCTAAAAGGAAGCAATACAAACATTATTTAACAGACATTTAGCATCAATCAATTTTAAAATAAATAAATAAAGAGGCTCTAGTCACAGAATTTTCTTAAATAAAAGGGGATCAAGCAGTTAAAGTTCTTTCTTTCCAAACAATACATACTTGACAAAGTCTGAATGCACAGTTAGGTTCGTCTCTCTGACCGCAATCTTCACTGAACTTGAGATTTTCTATTGGAAAATTGAATATATTTTAAAAGATATTATCAAAAATACGGGAAAGCTAATAATTACCATCATAAACTTACCAGTCCAAGGGTCAACGCGTACACAGAAGATCCATTAGCCAAATCCACATACATCTCAATATTTCCAATAATCGATAGATCAATGCCAGCAGCAAGTGAAGACACGGTTGGGATTTCTGTTGGATAGACTTTGAGCTTCATTGGGCGATCTGGGTACTTGTAATACAGCTGAAAAATAAACATTAATTCAGTGTTATCTATTTTTCATTTTATAATCAGGCTTTTCCGACAGTAAGATTTTTTTACCATACCAGTGGAATAAGAAGCTTGAAGGTCTTCGTGTTCAGGGCATAAGAAAAGTTTTTCGGAAGCTAAAATAAAAAGGTAAATTTGTTAGTCATTTTATATTTTATAAATACGACAAAATAAGCCAGTGAAAGGATGGGTTGATGCATGGATGGATACTGATGCATGGATCGATAGACGTATGGATTGATAGAAGCACCCAGCTGATCTGAGAAAAAATGTTAGAAAGTCAGAATTTCGTGAAAATTTGCAAAAGTTAGGTGTCATTTTTCCTCTTGAAATCGGGGATTTCTATGCCACCAAATGAAAAATTTAACGTTGCTAATACGCACCTTACGGCAGTGACACAATAATTCATGAGTTTTATATTTGTATTACAATGGCGAGAATGTTTTCGTTTTTCGGTCATCAATTTTTGCAGGCTTCATGACACTTCGGTTTTGCATTGAACTCATTTCGGTGTGTCACTATTTCAGAGTCAGCTGGATAGATGCATGGATGCATGGATATTACTTACATCATCGTTTGTCACTGTCCGGTTCATGAAACCAGCTTGCATATAAACAAAGCTGGCGGAATTGAGTACGTAATCAGTGATCCACGCGTATACCATACTGCTTGATTCAGAGTCTACTGGAAGAGAGACTGGAGTGAAAGGTGCCTCACTCGGATGAGCCACCGATTCGAACTCGCCCTAAAAGAAATTAAGAAATAAAATCGATCTTGAATTGAATGTGTCTTTGTTACCATAACGAAAATCAAACAGAGCGAGCTAACGAACTTCGCTCACGCCTTACACTATTGGTTAGATCACTCTGTTTGTTTTTCGTTATGGTAACATCTCATTTGTAAACAGTCGTCGTTCATTTTTGCAACCATTCCCTAATAATGGCTGAATGAGCCGAAAACTTGGATATATGGAAATAATTTACACGTAGACGAAGCATTGATCCACTGAAAAAATCAATCTGTTGGAAAGAAAAAAATGCCACAACCAAAGCTGGGCCTCAGGCAAAAGGTGAATTGATTGTAAAATGTCAATAGTCCCCTTCACAGTTCCCTGCGCCATTTTGAAAGGTATCCGTGCCTTTGCATCGAAGCGAGACAAAAGGTGAGCTTACAATGATAGAGATATTATAAATAATTGTCCAATATGTTAACAAAAATCTATCAAGATGGCGCAGGGAACTGTGAAAGGAACTATATTGAGAGTTTTTTAAACACGGAAGTAAAGTAGTAAAACCTTGGAGGATTATAATCATTTTACGCAAAAGCGCGAGTTCTCTACAAACCTTAACGAAGACATCCAGGAAAGAAAAGGAGGAGTTTGGTGTCTTAACAAGAGCGTAGTCTATCAAGGAGTACTTGTCAAGCTGTTTCTTAACTAGAAATAAAAAAAACGAACATTTGTTTGCTTGAGTTTTAATGCGCAAGTTTCATGGCTGGAATAGACCTCTTTACCTTGGGCGTAATGTTTTCTCATTTCAGAACACGTGTCATTCTCTTGAGAATAAGATTCGTTGTTTAAGTCCTATCCATAGTTTTGTGTCTTCTCATGCACATTCGTTAAACAAAAAATGATACTCTAGGAAACGAAAAAAGGAGGTACTTGCGATGGTGAATAGCGATAACATGACTGGGAAAACATTTCAYCCAAGGTAAAGAAGTATATTGTTTAATATTACTAGCTTGCTTTTCCCCAATATGTTTCGAGTCCAATATATTCTCCTAAGTCGAGAAGATTTTGAAAATAACGTGATGAGGTCTGTCTTATCAATCAATGACAATATTTACACAATCAATTGCACAATGCTGTTGCAATTCCCACAGTGCTTTAGTTTGTGCATCACCTAATATAAATAATGCTCCATGCTACATAGATAAGTTACCATGTCTTATTAACATGAAAAACTACCGAAAATATTATACCAGGAAATTTAGCCACAGCTTTGGCGCCTTGATCATTGATAGCTGAAGTTGCAGCTTTGCACAGCTGTAGAGAAAAAATGATGAAACAGCTAAAAAATAATGTATAATATGTATAATGTAAAATAAATTTTATTGTCCCATAAAACTAGAAATGTTTAAAAAAGCATATTAAGCTTTAGCTGTTGTATCACAGCGTGGGACAGTCACGACCGAGCTAGGCTCCAAATTAGGTGAAAGCCCAGAGATCGAATTGGAATCTAAAAGTTGATTTTAGAGAGAGGAAAATCGGAGAGCCCGGAGAAAACCATCAAAGCACGGGAGAGGTCCAGCAAACATCTCTACTCACGACACCGAGACCGGCAGGACTCGAACCGTGATGTATTGATAAGAGGCGACGCATTTACAGTGCACTCCATCCATACTTTCCTTTCTTGCAAATCTTGCAGTAACATTGAAAGTAGGCATTTTTAGCCGTGACTTCTTAGGCGCTGAATGGCTAAGCACTCCTTTCCATGTGGGATACATTTTAGAAAATAATCAACGCTAATTTGGAGTAAAAATTAAAATATAGAAGTCAAAATATTTTGCTAATTACCTCAGAATTAAGAGAACTTTTGATAACGCCTTCGATCTTACTTGAAAATAAATTGTACAACCAGCTAAAGCCATGAACAAAAATACAAACAGTTAAAATTCCAGTACTGTATATTGCATTACCTTTGATTCTACAATCGAATAGGACGTTTGTATGATGGCTACGGGAATCATTAATTAGCACCACTATTCTCACGAAGCAATACAAATTTATATAAGAAAGAAAATTCGCGAAGCATCCTGGTAGTGAGAGTCAAATGACGCAATCATGCAAATGTCCTATTGGAATTACAATATATTGAATACGAAGCCGGAAAAATATGGCAAAAACAGCTTAACTTCACTCACTCTCGACCTCAGGGCTCTGTCATTCTTACTGCGCATGCTCGACGAAATTTAAAAGACGCTGGGAAACTTCAGGATTTCAAAAGCTGTGATTAGCTACGATATTTTTGGATATCGATACGATATTGATGGAAAAACCGCGCTAGCAAAAGCAAGTGCCCTTGCAATACAAAATTGCCTTAAGGGTCGATAAAATAGAATAATCTATTAATAACATAAATAAACAAACGCCAATTAAGGGTTAGCGCTCTCTAGCTAAAATTCTAACTCATGCGCATTACATATCAAGTCAGGACATTTGTCGTAACCTCGCGCTAGGGTTTCCCATATAGAGTCTCTCTCATTTCGTCGAGCATGCGAAGTTAGAATAACAGGGGTCGTAAGTTGCGTTTACCTTGCTCCACCAGAAAAGTGAATGCTGACTCCTCCAATACTTGCTGAACAGCCTGCAGCTGCGATGGTTGGGTGTCCGTCAGACGTGGCTCCTGGAAAATATACCAGAAAATGAAACTAAGCGCTCTATGATCGCTATCTCAAAAATGGTCTTGGTTTCTTTTGTAATGTCAACGAATACAGCACCCACTTCTTAGTCACTTCTTAGTTTTTATTCTCATAGGAATGGATGCTATATTAGAAGAGCATCAGATAGGGGGGGGGGGGGTGCTTACCGATCTTAATAGAAACATCAAAAGAAATACCACTTGCTGATAACGTAAAGCTTCCACTGTCACTTATATGAGGCCTGAAATTGAAACGAAGGTTAGATCATATTGGCTGGCCCCGTTGTCTATCATTAGCCTTTTTAACATAGGCATATAGCGAGGCAGGCTACGGCGACAGCAAGTGAAAATCTTATTCGTGGACGTGAAACCTAGTCCATATTTCCGGCCATACATTTGAGTCTTCTAAGTCTTACTCCTCGTGTACCGTAAAAATGCCTATTAAATGAGCAAATTAAGCATTGTGGTTTTTTCTTTTAACGGCAGAACCATGCTTTAATGGTTTCCCTGCATTTAACTCTAACTTTTGCAAACTTTTTCTTCAAAGACAAATATACATTTGTTTATCTACTACTTGGAGATTTTTGCGATTTTCCCCTTTTTACTAATTTAATAGATTTTTTAACTCTACCACTCTACCACTCTACCACTCTACCACTCTGCCACTCTGCCACTCTGCCACTCTGCCACTCTG